CCTTGGCCTGTCTTATACCTGTTTGCCTGCAGGACAGTTCCCTAAACTAACATATCATACTAAAATAGGGTGGGGTTGTTGCAACAATTAATCTACTTAGAAGTTATCCTAAATTACAGCCAGCTGAAGCTCGGTACCACGCAATAGTTACTTTTACTGGTAACTAGTTACTTTTATAGTGGAGTAACTCAGTCAGTAAGTCAATTACTTTTTGGAAGAAGTACCAAGTAACTATAACTAATTACTTTTTCAAGTAATTTACCCAATACTGGTAATTATATTTGATAATCTCATTTAACTTCAATTGGAGTGGATTTGAAATAGAATGTTAAACATGCGATTAATTGTGAGTTAACTCACCATTACTATGCGATTTATCAACTAAACATTTTTTATCGTTTGACAGCCCTAGTTTTTATATAATAAATCTCTCTATACTGTGGTTTGCTTTCATTATCATTGGCATATTGTCAGTGGGATTTGCTCCATGTCTATTCTACATTCTCAGGAACAAAACTGAACACAGAAAGGCGAATGGTTAATATGAACATTATTATGATCATTTTTCCAAATACCTTTGTTGAACCGGGAAGTGCTGTCACTTCCTCCTTTATTGCAGTTTTGGGATGAATGTACATCATTAATCAAATTGATATTATCATTACAAGAGCTAATCTATTTTTAGCAGGTTTTGGGGTCAGTTACTCTACAATGGTATTTGATTCTCTAATCTGTGCTGACAAATCACAGCTCTTAAAATTCTCAAAAATACCTAAATATCTACTTTTGTGCTATACCCAAATACATTAAAATGCTTTTAAATGTTTTTGAATCTGTGTTGGTTCTAATCTATCTCATTAATCTATCTCATTAATCTATCTCATTAATCTAAGCTACACTCTTCTTGCATCGTCAACATTCACCTATGTTTGAAACAAGTGAATTTGACAAGTATCTAATAAAACTGTGCATGAACTGTAATGAACTTTATCTACTTTTGAAGTAAATACTTTTGTACATATTATGAAGGAAATGGTCCTTTTACCGTTTGATCTTAGCCCTGGCTAAAAATAATCTCTATTTTTGAAAGCATCTATGGTTGATCTATTTCTCTATTGTGACTCCAAAGCTCGGTTGTAGCTTGAGCCAAAGCATATTTCCAATTTGTGACTTCTGTCACTTTCAATGGCTGTAAAATAATTCTGATTCTAACAGTTTAGCTGCTCTATCAGAAGGATCCCATTGTATGGTACTATTTTAACTCTTACGCTGAAGTGTGTTTATGAACAATGATCAAATTCTAATTTTTTCTACTATTTAACATCTACTAAAACGCTACAATACTCATATTTTATCATTTTAAACCATTTTAACAGTTGCTCAGTCCCCCAGACTAAAAGTCAACCTTTTTGTCTGCCAGACTGAACACTTAACATTTATTGCATTTGTCGCAGTTGTGGTTCTAGTTGTAGCAATAGCATCGGCAATAGATGATTTTTCATTGGCTGGTTCTTGTTCTGAAAATCACTATTTTATGTATTGTATTTCAGACAATTCCAAAAACAACACAGTAGTTCTCCAATATTAAAGACATGAATCTAATCAAGTTGCCTGAAAGGGAGCGGGAAGAAGAGAACTATTTAAGACGTTATCTACGATTATATGGCTCTGAAATTAATTATTTAATAAACAAAAGCACATTCATGGCTTCTGTCCGCTGCTTATAACTGTTTAAAGAGTTGTCCCAAACTTAATATGTGTAAATACATCAGCTGTTTGTAATAAACAATAACATTTGACCTGTTCTCCAATGGAGCAGCTCAGAGGCTGCGTCACGAGCAATGTTATATTTGAGCTATTTTTAGATTTAAAATTTTGTTAAAGCCTGTCGTTCTATGTCTGCATTTTAATACTACTCTCTATAAACACATCTGCACTAGATCCTACAGATGTGGAAAACAGAAGCATCTAAAATCTGACTCTATTTGATTCCTTTTTACTTTAGTTATTCGAACAATTTGACATTATTGATACTTATTTTCACAATAGAACTATTTTGATTATTCACTAGTCTAACTATTATTACTATTCCCAGAAGGTCCTGGGTTCGAATCCCGGCCGGACCAGGGCCTTTCTGAGTGGAGTTTGCATGTTCTCCCCGTGTCTGCGTAGGTTTCCTCCGGGTACTCCGGTTTCCCCTACCACTAAAAATATGTACAATAGGTCTGGCATGCGCCTCCTGTTCGGCGACCCCGCTCCCATTTCTGTGTGGAGTGAGAGGACAAGTGCCCAAAAAAATAACAATTGTAAACCGCTTTGTGACTCTGGTCTGTGAAAGGCGGTATATAAATAAAGCTTACTTACTTACTACTTACTATTGTTTATTCTGACACCTCTTCTTAGCGACACTTTAACCTATAGCTCTGTAAGGTTAAATAAGGGACAGGGCCGTAAAACAGAGCCAGGCCCTGGATTGTGTACACATTCGACCAAAAGGAGGAAGACGTCCCACTGCAGCTTCAAAGGAACAGCGAGGTCGGCGGGAGGACTATCATTGATCATGGGGATTACAGATGCCAAACAGAGCAATAAAGTCACCACGGGGATAAGCACCTCTGTCTCTGCCTGCCTGTAGAGATCAAAGATCACAACCCTGCTCTCGCTCCCAGGACTCCTGCCACCGGACAATCAAAGACTCCCCCGCGGCGCTCTGACGCCCCCTTGTGAACAATGGACGCTATCACACCCGGGACGGACAATTGCGAACCAGCACCCCTGGGTCCAGTACTCCAATAATCTGCATTGTGCCCCACATGTGTGTATCAATGCCAAAGTAATGAAATGCGGTGTGTGTTTGTACATGTGTTATGATCATTTGCACCAATCCTGTGTGTTTCCTTTGCGAAATGTCTGTTGTGAAGGGTTTGTCCACAGAGAGGACGGCATGGACACGCCTCCCCTGGGAAGTCAATATAAGCACCCACAATGCCATAGTACTGCCTCTTGTTTCTCCCGAATTCATCATAACAACCATCCCGTTTGGTACGTGTCTCCTATACGGCCTACGCCCGCCACCATCTCGGGCCTGTACATCCACGAGGACAGCAATCACTCTCGCTGTCGGAGACGAGGACCTTCCATCGCCAGCCACTTTCGGGCTCCTGGAACACCCCACCGCAACGCTATTCTAGACCGTGTCGTGTGTGGAACCCACGCCTGGACCCGATCTGCCGGCTCCCTCCTGCTCCCTGTTCGAACAAAGACCACGTGGATGAGGACATCGCCTCCATCCTATTCTTCATCCTCATCCTCCCATCTCCATCTCCATCCTCCTCTTTCCATCACACATCTCCTCTACGCTCCTCAAAAGTAAGACTGTTCCTTTTGTTAGTGCGTGTTTCAAATGAGATGTGTACAACTCCTGCTTAAATGTGACCAGAAATCCCTTTTCGTTATATTTTTACCTTCATTTTTGTAATCAATAAAACCCCTTTTCTTTAACTCAACCCTATCAGAGTCGTGTTGTTAGATTTCGGTATATCCCTGGCCGATTTTCGTACTCAACCCATCAGATTTGTGATACTGGTATCGAGGCAAATACCCTGGGTCTGTCGTAGACCCTCAACCGTCTACTGGTGCCCAAAATAAATAAGACAGATCCATTGGTGGAACGGCGAGTTTCTGATCCGGAGACTAGCCGCTCCACACTACTAAATTTATAGCTTACTGTTATATTATTACCCTACAGCTCCTTGAATCCAATGACATTATAGCTCCAGACTATTTCATTCTATTCTATTATTATTATATGATCTATTATCTTAAAGAGTAGATCTGTTTGATGTGTGCATTATAAGCGCTATTATTTCTCCTTTTGAATTTGCACAACACTAAATTTAGAATGACCCCCTATGGGACAAATAAAGAATTTTATTTTATTTTTGCACCTCCGAAAATTATTTAATAATTTTTCCATTTTGCTTTTAGGCTGCCCTTTCCATTATTTATTTGTTCTTGTAAATATATGTTTTACACTTCTTTCTAATGATTTAGAAGGTTAAGGACCATGACCACTGTTGAGCGTGATGTGAAATGCAGCCTCATTTATTATGGTTCATTTATTAGCAGGCAATGTGGGTCCTGTGAGGACCCCTACTGACGTCAAGTAGCTCTATAAATTGCACCTGTTTTGTTTTAATAAATTGATTGTTTCCTCAACTGGAAAGCTGGCTGCTCGCGTCTATTGATGGAAAACACAACAGGTTATGGGCCCAGCACGCTGTCTGGCCAACGTTTCAGCCGGCTGCTGTTCGATGGTGATGAGAGGAACTACGAACTTTGGGAGACGAGATTCCTCGCGCATTTGGAGTTGCGTGGGCTTGCCGGGACACTGAAGACTGAGCCGGTGTTCGATGGGGCAGCTGAGGGCGTTGAGGAGGCACGAGTTGCAGACGCTGGGAGGAATGGACAGGCGTATGCGGAGTTGGTCCAGGTTTTGGACAATAAAAGTCTGTCGCTGATTATGAGAGAGGCGGACGGAGACGGGCGCAAGGCGTTGAAGATACTTCGCCATCATTATGCAGGCAAAGGAAAGCCGCGTATAGTGAGTTTATACTGCACGCTGTCGGCCCTCCACATGCAAAGCAACGAGACTGTCACAGATTACATTGTTCGAGCCGAGACAATATTTGCAGCGTTGTCGAGGGCAGAAGAGAACATTAGTGATGGTCTGCAAGTTGCAATGGTGGTGAAAGGTCTGCCCAACTCATTTAAGCCGTTTGTGGTGAACATCACACAGATGAGCGAAGCCCTAACGTTCAGTGACTTTAAGACAAAGCTGAGAAATTTTGAGGACACTGAAAGATACAGACCAAGCGATATCACAGAAGACAATGTGATGAGAGCAGCGGGGGCAGCCACCTACGGGCCACAAGGACGAGGCAGAGAGCGGAGGAAGGATTCGGCCGAGATCGAGTGCTACAGATGCCGTAAAATGGGACATGTGGCAAGGAATTGTCCCAGCGCGTATGAGTAGAGGCGACGGGACCGCAGGAGCGACGCACCACGCCGAGGGGGACAGCGGGACTCCATGGCAGCAGCAACGGGGGAAGAGCAGCAACGAGGAGCCACAGACCGCTGGGAGCGCTGGGCTCGACCCGACAGGAGCGCCAGGGACCAAGAAGGACCCTGCCCCTGGAGCGCCTACAGAGAAGCAGCAGATGATGGAGACGAGGACTACTATGAAGACCACAAGTCGTATTGTTTTAAATTGAGTGACCACAGGAGTTCAAAGGGGGCAGTCGATGTTAAAGGTTTGCTAGTCGATTGTGGTGCTACATCGCATATGATAAATGACTTTAAAAAGTTGAAGAACATTGATAAAGACTTTAAGCCTGTAAACCATGTGATTGAACTAGCTGACGGTACCAAGATCACCGGAGTGGCAGGCGCCAGGGGGGATGCAGAGGTCTCTCTGGTAGATAGCCATGGACATAAAGTGACAGCACTACTGAAGAAAGCCCTGTATATACCTACTTTTCCACAAGAAATTTTCTCAGTGAAGGCAGCCACAGACCACGGGGCGGAATTGCATTTCAGAGAGGGTGATAACTGGATGGGTGTTACGGATGGCACCCGATTTAACATTGAGACCCACAGTAAACTGTATTATCTGCCCACAATTATTGATGCAGACATTGACAAGTTTAAGAGATGTCACGATATACAAACGTGGCACAGAATACTTGGACACTGTAACTTTGAGGATGTTTCCAGATTGGAGAGTGTGGTTGAAGGGATGAAAATCAAGGGGAAATGTATCAAATCTGCCTTCAGCTGTGAAGTCTGTATAGAAGGGAAGTTCGTAGATAAGAGAAATAGACTGGCTGATAGCAGAGCTAAACAAATATTACAACTGGTGCATACTGACCTATGTGGTCCTTTGGAGCCTACGGATAGGGATGGGTATAGGTACACCCTAGCCTTCACAGACGACTACAGTGGCATGACCTGGGCCTATTTCCTCAAGGCAAAAAGTGACACTACCAGAGCAACAGAAAAATTCTTAGCTGACACAGCTCCTTATGGCAATGTGAAGACTATTAGATCGGACAATGGGACGGAGTACACTGGTAGAGAGTTCCAGGATCTTCTCATGAAAAATAGGATCAGCCATCAGACTAGTGCCCCTTATTCACCTCATCAAAACGGTACAGCAGAACAAAAGTGGAGGACGTTACTGGACATGAGCCGGTGCATGTTACTTGAAAGTAAATTACCAAAAACTCTATGGGGATATGCAGTGCAGACAGCTGCACATATACGTAACAGGTGCTATAGTAGGCGACTAGGCAAAACTCCATAGAATGTTTTCACAGGGAAAACTCCAAATATTTCCCATATGCTGATATTTGGTACAGAGTGCTATGTTTACAAGCATAACCAAAAGAAATTGAGTCCTAGAGGTGAAAGGGGCATTTTCGTTGGGTATGATAGGTACAGTCCTGCATACAACATCTATTTTCCAGAGACCGGAAGAGTTTCCCGGCATAGACTAGTGAAGCCCCTACTGACACTGGACAGTCAGATATATAGTGACGAAGATGATATTGAACTGTATACAGCACCACCTAGGATCAGTGTACATCCCCAGAGCCACCAGATCGCACCTACGGGTGCAGCAGGTGAAGGTGGTACACCACCCACTCGCCACGCCCCTGTTGCGGGGGATGAAAGCGGTGCGCAGTCCAGTATCAAAGGAGATATCAATCAATCAATCAATCAAAGTTTATTTGTAGAGCGCCTTTCATGCACAGGGCAACACAAAGCGCTTCACAGTCCACATCACAAATCATCACATAAAACAAACACCAGAATCACAATTAAAACATTAAAATCACACAAAAGATTAAAACACAATAAAAACAATAAAATCACACAAAAGAATAAAACCATTAACACTTTCAAAGTTACACAAGAAATTTAAAAAAATAAATAAATAAATGACAGCAGTGCATTACAAATGGAGATAAAATCCTTCAGTTGTATGCACAGGCAAACAGAACAGTCTTTAACCTGGATTTGAACATTGACAGAGTAGACCCTCCCTCACATTTTCAGGGAGATTGTTCCAGATCTTAGCTGCATAGATCTGAAACGCAGCCTCCCCATGTTTGGTTCTCACTCTGGGCACCAGCAGGAGGCCAGTCCCTGTGCTCCTCAGAGTCCGGGCTGGTTCATATGACACCAACATGTCACTAATGTATTCTGGTGCAAGGCCATGGAGAGACTTGTACACAAGCAGAGCTGTTTTAAAATCTATTCTTTGAGCCACAGGAAGCCAGTGCAGAGACCTGAGGACCGGACTAATATGGTCATACTTCCTGGTTCCTGTCAGGACTCTAGCTGCTGCATTTTGGATGTACTGCAGCTGCTTACAGGTCTGTTTGGACAGACCTGTAAGCAGGCCATTGCAGTAGTCTAGCCTGCTGGAGACAAATGCGTGGACAAGAATCTCCAAGTCTGCCCTGGACACTATATTTCTGACTTTGGCAATGTTCTTCAGATGGTAAAAAGCTGTTGATGTTATTGATTTTATGTGGCTATTGAAATTTAGGTCTGAGTCCAGTATTACCCCCAAATTTCTGACCTTGTCTGAAGGAAGTAGGGAGAGAGACTGAAGTTGACAGATGACGCCCTCTCTTTGTTTCTGGGGACCAAAGACAATGATTTCGGTTTTGTCTGCATTTAGCTGGAGGAAACTATTTTGCATCCACTCACTGATCTGTTGGATACAGTGAAGGAGCAAATCCAGTGGTCCATGTTCTCCTGCAGTCAGTGAGACATAGATCTGAGTGTCGTCGGCGTAATTGTGGTAGGACACTTTGTTTCTTTGTATTAACTGACCTAACGGCAGCATGTAGAGATTAAATAGGAGAGGTCCCAGGATCGACCCCTGTGGTACTCCACAGGTCAGGGCCACATGATCTGAGACGCAGTCTCCAATCTCCACAAAGTACTTCCTATCCTCCAGGTAAGACCTAAACCAGTCTAGGGCTGTGCCAGTGACACCAACCCAGTCCTCCAGTCTCTGCATGAGGATCTCATGGTCGACAGTGTCGAACGCGGCACTAAGATCTAACATGACCAAAACTGTGACTTTACCTGCATCAGTGTGAAGTCGAGTGTGGGGGGGCACGTCGCTACCCAAGCAGAGACAGACAACCCCCATCATATCTCAGGGATTACCAATGTAAGACTGAGGATAGTACAGAAGAACAAAATATTGATCACTTTTATAGAGCTATGTTTTGTGTACCCAGAACCTACATGGAGACTGAGAGACCGGAGACTGAGAGACCGGAGACTGAGAGACCAGAGACCGGAGACTGAGAGACCGGAGACTGAGAGACCGGAGACTGAGAGACCGGAGACTGAGAGACCGGAGACTGAGAGACCGGAGACTGAGAGACCGGAGACTGAGAGACCAGAGACCGGAGACTGAGAGACCGGAGACTGAGAGACCGGAGACTGAGAGACCGGAGACTGAGAGACCGGATGCAAGCTGGGTGGTCAGTAAATTGTCCCAGTACCTAAAACAGCCAACACAACAGCACTGGGAAATGGCCAAACAGGTATTACGTTACCTGAAAGGCACTATAGACCAGGAACTGTGTTACAGACGAAAAGACCCAGGCCTTAGACTCGAAGGTTATAGCGATGCTGACTGGGCGTCAGACCAGACTGAGAGGAAGAGTACTAGTGGTTACTGTTTCAGCCTGACCACAGAAGGTCCAGTAATTTCCTGGAAAAGCAGGAGACAGCCTACTGTAGCTCTGTGGACATGTGAGGCTGAGTACATAGCCCTTGCAGCTACTGTGCAAGAGAGCATGTACCTCATACAACTTCTGGGTGGGATGGACAAGGAAAAATTATAATAGAGTACTGTGCAACGGAGCAAATGGTGGCAGATGTGCTGACCAAACCCTTAACAAAGGTAAGGGTTTCAAATATTATTTGTTTGGACAATAATGTAGTATTGTATTTTCTTTGTTTTTCTCTGTTTTGTATTCTGTAAAAATGAGCCTGAGTGGGGGTGTTGAGCGTGATGTGAAATGCAGCCTCATTTATTATGGTTCATTTATTAGCAGGCAATGTGGGTCCTGTGAGGACCCCTACTGACGTCAAGTAGCTCTATAAATTGCACCTGTTTTGTTTTAATAAATTGATTGTTTCCTCAACTGGAAAGCTGGCTGCTCGCGTCTATTGATGGAAAACACAACAACCACCTATGACAATAACATTACAATACTCCCTCTCTTGGTCGTGGGCCAAGTGTAATTGTAAGCGTCTGTGTGTGTGTAGATTACTGTTCCAATTATCTCCAGTTGTTTCTCCCGGATCGTCCTCAATTCGTATTGTGGGCTTTGGTGCCAAAGTAGAGGCTCATTTCCTCTCATGATCCGTACTACTGTGTTATCCCTGAAGCAGGTGTAGTTTATCTTTTATCTGAAAAAGAAACATTAGAACACAAGAAACGCCCACTTCCCTCTCTTCGCATTGTGCAGCTTGTCAATCATTCAAATTGGGCAAAACATAACTGCATTGACAGACGGTGTGTGACATCAGGGCAGAGGCTGTAGCCAAATACAGACTTAACAATATGTATGTTTCTAATTTTATACTCCACTAAATGTGAGTTACAAACCAAAGTTGTCCTCCGCCCAATGACCGCTCACTGTGGTTGGACCGAATCATTGTCAGGACAAACAGCAGAGGGAGGGACTCCCAGTACCTTCAGCAAGGTATTCATCTCAGAGTACTTTCCGCAGAGTACTTTCTCAGAGTACTCATCCCAGAGTACTCTCACTTTTACACCTGTTCAATAAAGCTTGTTATCTTTGAATCTCTAGTACTTACACCGTATGCTGTTGACAAAAATAATTATTCCATGATCACATTAAAACATTACAGGAAAACATTTGTTATTCCATTCTTCGTTCACCACTCCTCATTCACTCCTCATTTCACAACACACTCCTGGCCACACACTGACTCCCCACGTTAGTATATTGGTCCAGAGTTTGTTAAGGTCAACGTAGTGTACTTGACATGACGCACAAACATATAACATACACAAACATATAACACACACACACATATAGACAACACAGGAGGCCTGTAATTTTAACTTTGTTATATTTTTCCATGTCCAATTACAATTGTCTCATGAGCTATTTTATTGTTGCAACTTTCAGAGCCTGCAGAACATGCA